ATGCTGTGGCCAGGGATGCTGCGTGTTTATTATGTGGACCTAGATCACATGATTCACATGTAGAAAAAGGCAAGGGCCCCACCTATGCCACAAGAACTGACAGTAGGGAGGAGTCAACTCCCAAATGGAAAGCCATCACTGCAAGCAGGGGGAGGGGTGCTGGCAAGAAAAACCTCAAATGTCCACTGTGGGAGTGACCTTTACTGAAGGTCATCTGGTGCTCAGGAAGTGCTGTTTCTACAGTCACGTGCTGTAGCATGATGGTGGTCCCCTGAGATTAGTACCATAGAGTCCAGGTGTGCAGTAGGCTGTACCATCTGGGTGTGTAAGTGTACCCTGTGATGCTCACACAACGATGAAATTGCCTAACGACGCATTTCTCAGAACCTGCCCCCCCTCAGTAGTGATGCACGACTGCTTCCTTCCCTGTAAAGCCCTCTGGCTTTGTCAGATTCTAGATAAGCCCCGAGAGGGCGTGTTTCACACTTGAGCACCATCCACCACGTGCGCTGTGGAAACGGTGGGAAGCCCTCGTCTGTTTCACCCCAGTGACCCATGAAGCTTCTTAGTCCACGGGGACTTCAGCCGGGAGTGATGGCTCCCGAGGCTGCCCTGGACGCCTGAGGAAGCTCCCGTCTCTTCCATCGCTGGGGACCCAAAGCCCCAGGCGTGAGCCGCGGCAGGCCCTCCTTCCTCCTGCAGGGAACTTGCTGCGATTCACGCCCCAGGGTCAGCGCTGAGGCTGGCTTCCTGCTCGTGCAGAGGGACCGAGTCAGAAAGGTCCTCACCAGACGCCAGCCAAGGCGCTGTGCTCCCGCGTGGTTGACGGCTGCTCCCGGGCCTGCGCCTGTGCTGGGGGGGAGTGCGCACGTGTGTGAGTGTGAGGGTGGGATGAGTGTGTTTGTAGTTCACATGCACCTGTCGACACAATAACCCAGTTCAAGCATTTCCATCGATTCTGAAATGAGTAAAAATAATGACACATACCTAGGTGGCTCTTACTGTCTGCCAGGTGCTGGAGAAAGACAGATGCCTAGACAGATAGTTGGTGGATAGAGAGATGGCTCATAGATAGAGTCGTTTAACCATCTCAACACCCGCATGTTCACAGAAGCACCGTTCACAGACAAAACAAACAAACAAGCATGTGGGATGGATAATCATCACATAGGTGAACAAGGTGTGGTGTTTGAACTGTGCACAGCAGGGAAGACCCGTCTTCGATGTGCTCTTTAACACAGACGACACTCACAAGCGTGAGTTGAACACAGTCAGCACGTCTCAGAAGACGGCGGCTGGGGGATCTCCTCGAGTAAATGTGCAAAGGCTGACAACAGCAGACAGTGTGTTCAGGATGCGGGACTAGGGCCTGCAGCGTAAATGAAGAAGGGAGAGACCGAGACTGAGGAGAGGGGACCTCAGAGGGAGGGGGCTGAGGTGGGAGGACTCAGGAGGGGCCGTCGGGTCCCGATGGGGCTGGGGATCCAAGGACCCAGGGTGGGCGCCCAGGCCCCAGGCGCCGTGTGAATGTGACCTGCACCCTGGGCTCAGGTCGCCCCTGCGTCTTCAGCCTGCCCACCCCACGGAGGCGGCAGGGACACAGACAGGGACGTGGAGCTGGGGCGTGGGCTCCTTCCTCATCCCACCCGTGATCTCGTCTCCTCTCTGTTCTCTCATGACCTGTCCTGGACCGTCAGGCCCAGCGTTCAGAGTGGCTTTGACCCTGACCCTTCAGGGCAATGATGTTCCTGAATTAACCTGAACCCATGAGTCCCACCTGTGCCCACCTGGACACCTGTGCGGGGGTTGCTATGGCACCGTCACCACGGTCCCGGGCGCCCAGTGCCTGACCCAAATGCGCGTCAGTGGAGGGGAGTGAGTGGCATCAGCGTGGGGTGTGCAGGACGCCTGTGTGTGTGCCCCTCTGCCCCAGCCGTCTGTCCACACGGGGACATCCTGCATCCCCTCCTGACACCAAGAGGGCGTCCACAGGGAGCGGGGGCAGAAACTATGTCTCCCCCGCCCTCCCAGCCTCGTTCACCTGAGGCCAGCCGGTCCCCTCGGGGTCCAGACCACCGGCCTCTGTTCAGCTGAGGCCCTGCCCCCCTCCCTCCCTTCTCATTGTGACTCTTCATGAGGCGGGAGGATGTGGAAGGGGGGATGTGAGTCTAGAAAGTTCTGGAGAGTTATGTTCCCGTTACCCCATCTGGTCATTGAGATGAAACGTCCACTAACACTTCACCCTCTGCCAGACGAGTCCTGGGCTTCTGCCCTCACCTGGGCTGCGGGATGCAGGAAGTCAGACTTGGTTAGGGCCCACCTTGTCCATCCCCCACCCACCCCGATCAGCAGATGGGCGGTGAGAGCCTGAGAGTAAGTGCTGCCTGAGGGTTCCACATCAGAAAGGGAGCTCTTGGTTCTAAGTCCTGGGCTCCTTCTGCTCCTTCTGTGATGGACATGTGTGTGTGTATACACATGTGTGCACACCCATGTGTTTGTATACACATGTGCATATGTGTGTGTGTATATGTGCATGCACCAGCGCAGCCTCTCCTTGGGAACCACATCCCCATCTTTGGTCCCTCAATGGAGGGGGCAGACTCCACCTCCGAGCTCTAGCGGTGGGCATGTAGCCAAGCCTGGTCATGGGGACGCTCCGCTTCCCTGCCACAGTGAACGGCCCAGGAATGAACCCAAGCTGTACAGTGAGGGTCCCCTCCAGGAGACGGGTGCCCTCTCTTTCTGAAACCGTGGGCAATGAGAACTGTAACCTGAAGGTGCTGGGTTACAGCACCACAGGGGACAATGCTACCATGGGGGACAATTGCCTGATAATGTCAGAAGCGAGAGAGAGAGACAGACACATAGAGACACGGACAGAGACAGAGAGAGAGAGAGAGAGGGAGAGAGAGTCCTAACAGCGTGGGTCCAACCCTGGACCCAGCTGTGCCCAATGCCTTCACCCCATGAATTGCCCAGGCACTAAGCTGACAATACGCTTTTTCACTTAAACTGTATTAAATTTGATTTCTTTTTTTTTTTTTTAAATTCAAACTTTTTTTTTTTTTTTTAAGATTTTATTTTTTCCTTTTTCTCCCCAAAGCCCCCCGGTACATAGTTGTGTATTCTTCGTTGTGGGTTCCTCTAGTTGTGGCATGTGGGACGCTGCCTCAGCGTGGTCTGACGAGCAGTGCCATGTCCGCGCCCAGGATTCGAACCGACGAAACACCGGGCCGCCTGCAGCGGAGCGCACGAACTTAACCACTCGGCCACGGGGCCAGCCCCATTAAATTTGATTTCTTTCTTTTAATATTTAATGAAGTTCTTACTCAAATGATTCCAAGCCTTATCTGATGAATCATATATGAAATTAGTGATTTTGTTCTTGCAAGAGTGCCTCTGGCTTAGGTGACATGGATGAGAAAATCCTTCCTCTTCTCTGCCCTGCTTCCATCTCATCTTCTTTGCTTGGCAAAAGCCACTAACTTGGCCTGGGAAAGGCCGAAATTGGAAGGGAACAGAGTCAGCTTTAACCCAGCCATCCTGAGTCAGGCGCTCCTTCCCGTGGCCGCCTCTTACTTTCTGAGCTCCCGTCAGGTCTTAAAGGAGCACACGTGATTGACTTGCTGAAGACGCACAGTCCTCCGGTCTGAGCAAAGCCCAGTAAAGATGCTGACAGGAGCGCTGTGCTGGGACACATGTGTGCCCCATGCAGAGCATGTGTCCGCAGCATCTCATCCAGGTGGGGCCAGAGTCGGCCCCCGCCTTCTAGGTCTGCAAACCCACGTGAGGAGGTCCCTCTGTGGCGCCCTCCAGGAATCCGAGGGTCTGACTGCAGGGCCATCTGAGGGTGACGGGAAGAGAGGAGGAGCTGAGGAAGATGCGTTTCTTGTCCCTGCTGCCACCTACAAGCTGCGTGACAGCAGAGGAGCGGGGGACCCTGGAGGGCTAGGCCCACGGGGCCTGGGAAGAGCTTTCCTTCCTTGTGTTGGTCTCAGCTCCTCCCTCTTTCCTGGGCTCAGACAAAACTTATTTTGTTGTTTAATGTTAAAAATGGTAGTGTTGGAGTTTTTGGTTACATGTCACAGAATTGCATCTCCAGCCAGCTTAGTCAAAAGAGTGTTTATTGCCTCCCGTAAGAACAAGTGCATGGGCAATGTGGCCTGGGGGCGACTAAGGCTGGGGCAGCAGCACGCACCCATCCCTCCCGTCTTCGTGTTCACAGGCAGCCTCCTTGCCCTGAGGGGCGCTGGCTGCTGACCTCGGGCTGGTAGCTTCTAGTCCAGCAGAAGGCAGATCGTCTATGTGACAAGTGTTCCACAGACTTCCCCAAACGGAGTCTCATTGCTCTGACTTAGGTCCTGTATCCAGCCCTGAACCAATGACAGAGGCCAGGGTGTGAGACATGCACATGTCCAGGGCGGGGCCCCCTGTCTGCCTTGCCTCTGAGAGTGGGTAGGGGGTTGGGGGTCAACGCCCTGAGCTGATGGGCTGGGATGACAGAGTGGTTCTCACAGGAAAATCAAGGGCTGTCATCGGGGGAGAGGTGGGCGCTGGCAGGGAATATGACAGATGTCCACTGCGTGCATCCAATCGGCTGGAGCCCAGCATGGGGGAGCGTGAGCCAGGGGATATCCGAGGACTCCCAGCGAGGTCAGCAGAGCTCTGAGTCTGGGGAGTGACAGCAGCCGGCTGCCAGGAGCTGTGGGGGTGCCTGCGGAGCAGTCCTGGGCCTGGAGCTCACAGTCTACCTGGGCAGTGGGGTGGGGCAGCGAGGAGGTGAGGCAACTGGGCAAAGGGGCTGGGAGTTCCTCACATCCAGAACCATCCTTGGAGAGGCCCTTTGGGGATGTCCATGGGAATTTTCAGTTCCCAGCATGGCACATCCAGCAGCCTGGCTGAACCTCCCCCTGAAATGAGACACGGGTCCTGAGAGGTGTTCCCGGAGGCTGCTCCATCAATTAACTGAACGGCTCATCCAGGATCCAGCTCACAACGAGTCTGCTCTTTATGACTTTAATCCGACATTGTACCGCAATTGTGGGTGATCATTAACAGAGAATAGTGGGGCAGGAAAATTATAGGCTGGGGAGTTTCTGCAGAATAATTTGAGAATCAAGAATGTACACAGAGTAATAAGACGAACATGTGCTATAATTTCAAAAGTGAAGGTGTGGGCAAGCGGTAATTGCAGGTGCTAATGGGAGCTTGCAACATGGTCCATTTCTCCGTCAAGTAGGGAGACGTTCAAGAGGAGAGTTTCCGGGTCTCGGCTGCATCTGGAATAGAGAGAGAGATGTTCATGTGAATGGGGCCCTGGAGACGCGTGCAGGGCACAGTCCTGTGCTGACCTGGGCAGGGACGTGCACAGGTTCCAGCTGTGAAGGAAATAGTTTTGATCTCACAATTTCTGAACAGGTGCAAACCTCCCCCAAGGAGCCGGTGTTCTGTCTCCTTCTCTCCAGGACGAGGCTGCTGGCGGGACGGGCAGGACGTCAGCGGGCACTGCCTCTTCCCTGTCCTTCTCTGCCTCAGGCCTCCTTTCAACAGAAGCAGTAACGGGCCCACAGTCAATCATACTGGTAATCATTTAATTTAGGGGGGCCAGTGCAGCACAGGGGTTGGGGGCTGCAGCAGATTTCTGAGAGTCCATCCCGGCCCCACCCCTCACCTCCTGGGGGACCTGGGGCCAATTCCTTCACTTCTCCTGCTTCTGTTACTTCCCCTGTAGGCAGAGTGGGGAGGGTAGTGGTGCCACCACCCAGAGGAAGCCCTCGGTGAGAAGACCCCCAAAAACCCTTTCCTTGCGCCGAGCGTGAGCCTCAGGGAGCTGCTCCCCACACTGATTCTAATGTTTAAAATCTGTCTTTTTTCCCCACATGACCCCTAAATCTAAAGCAGTGACATCCTCTGTGACTCAACCAGATGTGTGATCGCTCCAGTACCCGTGAGCACTGGCCAGGCTGGACTGTGGGGAGACACTGGTTGTCACAATGCTTGCTGAGCACTTGAGGTGACTTTGCACTGACTTTACTCCTGTTTGCTGGACCCACCTGTTCTGTAAGCGACACCAGCCCCATCCCACCCTGGTGGCTCAGAGCACCTGAGACTGGGATGGGGGCAACAGGAGGAAACATCCTGCCCCTAGGACAAGGTAGGGTCCCAGCCACCGTCTCTGGGTCCCCTCCATGGGGCACAGTTGGCCATGTTCACTCCCCAAACTAAACTCATACATCCTAGTCACACTTCCTACTTTACTGGGATTTAAATGAATGCATTTTCCAGAGTTGCCATAATTTCCATCATGGAATGCGACAGATGGAGAAGACACTAGTCTAATCCCCTCTTTTATTAATAAAGAAAATAAATCAGGGAGCCCAGAGGGTGAGGGTGAGAGGCCAGCATCCCACAGAGTCCGGGGTGGGAAGGAGGCCCTGGGCTGCCCTCCTGGTAGGGGCAGACTCTGTCTGGGCTCTTCCAGCAGACGGACGGGTGACCCAGGGCCTGGCTGCGGTGGGGGCCTGGGGAAGGAGTGCAGACATCAGACACCATCACATGCTCCCGACTGACCTCAGAATCTTAGTCTGAAAGGTCAGGATCCTTGTGTGATCTCCTCTGCAACAGAAGAACAGAGCCCCAGCCAGCTGCGAGGTCTCGCCTCTCCAAGTGACAGTGAAGAGAGGACGTCACACAGGTGAGGGGCCAGCACATGAGGGGGAGTGCTGCTGGTTCAGAGCTGATTATGGCCTGAGTCCAGGGAGGCAGGAGAGGCTAGGGTGAGGAGCCCCCACCCTCTGTCTCCTGTGGCTCCTGCCGCACAGATGAGAAAGCCCAGAGGCCCGATGCCCAGAGGCAGGTGGTGGAGGGCACTCTGGAACCTGAGACGGCTGGGGAGGCTTGGGGCCAGGAGTCCTGAGGAGACAAAGGTGAAGGTGCCGGAGCTCCCAAGGTCGGTCCTGCGGAAACGACACCAGAACCAGGAGCTGCCCTGGCCCAAAGAGCTCATGATCCAGTGAACAGACAGAGCAGTAGTCACTGCAGTGAGCAAACGTAGATGGTGGGGCGTGAGGTGACGGGGTGTGGACGTGCAGGGCGAGGCCTGACTTCCGCGGAGGGCCAGGAAGACCCCTCTGAGGGATGGACTTGGGCAGACACCTGGAAGACGTGGTGGGGAGAGTCATGTAAGGACTCAGAGAGGAGACTTCCCAGGAAAGGGCATGGCAGGCACAAAGGCCCTGAGGTGGGGACAGCACGGGCATGCAGCTGGAGAGGAGGGAGTGGTGGGGGAAGGAAAGTAAATTTGGGGTTTAAAAGGGTCTCTGCATACCTTTGAAGACCAGGCTCAAACATGAATTTTGTGTGAGGAGGACTGGGGGGCTTTGAGTAGGGAAGTGACACGATCTGTTTTATCTTTAAAACCATCACTCTCCCAACCCACCCCTTTTCATGTCAAATCTAGCACGGTGGATTGGGGCACTTCTGATTGCACCCGCTCTGGGACTGGATCGGAGCAGCACAGTTATTTCTGTCTGTCTCCCGGAGCATTTAATCACAGCTGAGAATCCCCATTGGCCATGCGGTGGGGGAGGCTCCCATTTCCCTCCCTCCAACGCCGCCTCTGGGGTGGGCTCGGCAATCTTCCCTTTGATTAGTTCCAGAGGATCCACTGAGATGGGATTCCACACTGTGCAGGCTCCGTCAGCCTGCTGATGAGGAGGGAAGCGGGGCGCCCCTTGGTCCCCCATCGGCTCCACCAGGGTCCTCGTAGCAGGGTGACTGCCTTGATCAGCCTCTGTTCACACAGGAGGGGCCCTTCAGTCCTATAAGGCCAGGGGAGGGGTCAATAGTCACAGCGTCTCACTGCTGGCCTCTCCCGCAGGGGTCTGGAGGGGCTGCAGAGATTTTTGCATTAATATTCATTAGGGACATTGGTCTGTAGTTTTCTTGTAGTATCTTTGTCTGATTTTGATAACAGGGTAACACTGACCTTGTAGAATGAATCTGGAAGTGTTCTCTCCTCTTTAATTTTTTGGAAGAGTTTGAGAAGGATTGGTGTTAATTCTTCTTTAAATGTTTGGCAGAATTCACCAGGGCAGCCGTCTGATGCCGAGCGTTTCTTTGTAGGGAGGTTTTTGATTAATGATTCAATTTCCTTACTAGTGATGGTTCTGTTTAGATTTTTAATTTCTTCATGATTCTTGGTAGGTTGCATGTTTCTAGAAATTTACCCATTTCTTCTGGGTTTTCCTATTGTGGGTATATAATTGTTGAAGCAAGTCTCTTATGATCCTTTTTATTTCCTTGGCATCAGTACTAATGTCTCCTCTTTCATTTCTGATTTTTGAGTCTTTTCTGTTTTTTTCTTAGTCTAGCTAATGGTTTGTCAATTTGTTGATCTTTAAAAAAACCTTTAGTCCCATCGATTTTTTTCAGTTCTCTGTTTTGTTTATTTCTGCTCTGATCTTGAATATTTCCTTCCTTCTGTAAGCTTTGAGTATATTTTGATCTTTTTCTAGTTCCTTATGGTGTGAGTTAGATTGTTGATTTGATTTCTCGCTTTTCAAATGTGGCATTTCTGCTCTAAGCTTCCATCTTAGCACTGCTTCTGTGGGATCTCATGAGTTCGGGGACAGGGGGTTTCACTTTCATTTCTCTCAAGATTTTTTCTAATTTCCATTGTGATTTCTTCTTTGACCCATTGGTTGCTCAAAAGTGCCGTTTAATTTCCATGCATTTGTGAATTCCTGGTTTTTCTTTGCTACTGATTTCTATTTTCATCCCATTTGGGTCAGAAAAGATAGTTGGTATGACCTCAATCTTATTAAATGTGCTAAGACTTGTTTTGCCATGTGGTCTCTCCTGGACGATGTCCCATGCACTTCAGGAGAACGTGTGTTTGCTGCTATTGGGCAGCGTGTTCTCAGCATGTCTGTTGGGCCGAATTGGTCCATCGTGTTTCCTTATTGAATTTCTATCTGGTTGATCTGTCTTTACTAAAATGGGGTATTGGAATCTCCTCTGATTATTGTGTTACTGTCTCTTTTTTCAATTCAATCAAGGTTTGCTTCACATATTTAGGAGCTCTGCTCTTAGGTGCGTATACATTGACAATTGTTATAGCTTCCTGGGGAACTGACACTTTGATCTTTAGGTAACGTCCTTCTTCATCTCTTGTCGGCTTTTGACCTAGAGTCTATTTCGTCTGATGCAAGTACAGCCCCGCCTGGACTCTTCGCTGTCCGTTTGTGTGGAATCTGCTTGCATCCCTTCCCTTGCAGCCCGTGTGTCCTGTATCGTCAGGAGTGTCTGTGGGCAGCCTGCAGTTGGATCTTGCTTGCCTATCTATCAACCGCTCTGAGCCTGCTGATGGGAGGTCAGTCTGTCCACGTTACCGTCATCACTGACGGGGGGACTTCCTGTTGCCATTCTGCTCATCATTTTCTGTCTTTAGTTACTTCTCCGTCTTCTCCTCTCCTGTGCCTTCCTTTGTGTTCTGTTGACTTTTTGTAGTGACAAGTCTGATTCCTTCTCATTTTCTCTTGTGCATTCTCCATAGTTATTTTTTTTGTGATTTCCAAGGGGATTGCACAAAAGAACTTATATGTAACCATCTATTTTAAACTGATAACAACGTGCTTCAATTGCATAAAAAGCTCTACTCCTTCACACCCCCCAACACTTCCTATTATCGATGTCACAATGACGTCTTTTTATATTCTGTATCCATCCACAGCTGGAGCTGTCTCATAAAGGCTCTGTGCACTGTGTATTGTTGTCAAGTTGATTTTCCTGTGGGGAGTGAGGTCGGGGTCTTCCTATTCTGCCATCTTGCTCTCATCTCTGGAGGTTTTAGCTCTCAGCCAGGATCACCCCATGCGACACCCTGAGCAGCCCCATGAGGAAGTCTGCAGAAAAGAGTTAACCCAGCAGGCCCGAGACTACAATCCTCGGAAAGGCTGCTGGCAAGCCTTTCCCTTGGAGAGAGTCTGGGAATTTGGCTGCAGGCAGTTCCCTACGAGGCTATCAATCTTTCTTCACCAGAAGAGGGGTGCGCTGTGCCTAAATTCCCTGTGCGAACAACATGGTTGATGCTGGACACCTGCTTTCCTCGTGGAGCCTGGAATCTGGGGCCGTGCCAGCAGAGGGTGCCTACCTGACCAGCTCCCCCTGAAAACTGGGTGCCGAGTCTCTGATGAGCTTCCCTGGTAGACAGCGTTTCACATGTGTTGTCACAACTTGCTGAGGAGTTAAGAGCATCATGTGTGACTCCATGGGGAGAGAACCCTGGAAGTTCGCACCTGGTGTCCTCTGGACTCGAAGGGTAACCCAGCCCCTGGCTCTGCTCACCCCTCCCTGCCCCTCCAGCCTTGGGGTGGCAGCAGCTTCCTGCCAAATCAGGGTGCCCCTCCCCTGTGCTCTCAGCTGCCTTGCACATTTATAGTCAGTGTCCTTACTGAATTTGTGTCTTTCAACTTCCTGGTGTAGCTTCCAGCTCCCTCATTGGCTCCACACTAGTCAGTCAGTAGCTGTCATTTCTCTACCATAAAAATGTCCCCCTTGGAGCCCTGCACCCCAGGGGACCAAGGGCGTGGGCCCAGCTGAGACAGAGGGACTGGGGCCGGGCAGCTCCTGCACTGACCAGGAGCCCCTGTGTCCGTTTTGCTTGTGGCCACGTGTTGTCCATTATCTCTGGGAAGCAGCCCGCCCGGCTCCTCTGAGTCTGTATAATTTATTACCTTCACACCCACACAGAATGTTAATGTGACTGCTTATCTCCAACTCAGCGAGCAGGACAGATGCTCAGGAGGGAAGCAGCTGCTGCAATGGCAGCCTGGGCTGTCGGGAAGGGGCCCTGCAGACGGACGAACAGACAGACAGGCAGCCCTGGTGAGAACTCGACTCTGCTTCCTCGCGTCCGTGTGGCCCTGAGCAGTTCTGTCATCATCCAGGCCGCATGGCTGCCCTGGAGCCGGGGGTAGGGCGAATCCTATTTGCTGACCACCCTCCACTCCCACCGTCCCTTGGGGAAGCCCCCTCCATTCTCTCAGGCCTGTGGACTTGGGGGGGGGTGGACACGACAGCCCCACGCCTGCTGCCAGGCTCCAAGGGTGACCCCAGTGACCCTGTGCTGGGAGGGTGGAGGCGGAGGGGTCGTCAGGTGTGCCACCTTAAAACGAGGAAGATGAACCCTGCTGCTCAAGAGCTCCCAGAGTCGGGGTCACGGGCAGGAATGAGGGACGAGGCTCCCGTGACGGAATCAAGGGGGAGTGCGCCCTCCACGTGGTGGGGAACTGCTGTCCGGGCCTCAGACCTCGGCTCCTGACCCGCCAGGGCTGCTGGGAGGTTAACATTCCGCACAAAACATCTAATTCACAGGGTCAGACCCTCAAAGCTGCCTTCTCCCGGGGGCTCCCCGGCGCTGTGTGGTTGCTCAGATGCTCATAGGAGCCCGACGGCTGCTCGTCTCAGGCCCCCAGGACAGCCCGCCGGCCCCGCCGCTGCACCTTGGACGTGGCCTCTCCGAGACGAGGGCCACACTGGTCCTGGGGGACCCGGACCGGGCTGGGATCCCGCATCTAGTCGGCACAGCACAGGAAGCAGAGACCACAGCACAGGGCACTCCTGGTGACAGAGTACAAGGCCGAGGGGACGGCGGGAGGGAGAAACCATTTCTCTAGGCGTTTGTCCCTTTACCCACACAGTCATTCATTCCTTTACCCACGCAATCATTCATTCCTTCACCCATGCAGTCGTTGTCCCTTCACCCACGCAGTCATTCGTTCATTCATTCAGCACATATCCATTGGGTTTCTACTTCCTCCCAGGCTGTTTTATGCACATGAAGCACAACCTTGAATACAACAGCCCCAACTCCCAGCCTCATGGAGGTTATATGCAGGTAGAGGAGACCAACATTTCATAAACAAAGTATACAATGTCAGCTGGTAATTAGAGCTCTGGGCGAGAATAAAGAAGCCAGAAAGGGCAGAGAAGGGGGAGGCAGGGCTGCCAGGTGTGGTTGTCCAGGTTGTGCACTGCCTGATTTTGGCAGCACAGTTCACCTCACAGTTGCCCTAGAGTCACACAGTCACTGGGGCGGGTTCCCAGCAGATGGCAGTAACATGTCTGAGAAAGGGCCCATTTTTAATTTACCCAAAACCGTCTCCTGGGCTCACAGCCCCGGGAGGAGGGGGTCCTGGCAGGATGACACAGAGTGAGGGACCCTCATTTCCCTCCCACCTGGGGTGATGCAGAAGCTGGAAGGGCTCTGAGACTGGACCAGAGTGAGCAGAGGGTGTGGTGGGAGGGGATGAGGTCAGGGTGGGGCAGGGGCTGGGGCACTGGGGGAGGGCAGGGTAGGAGGGTCTGTTGGCCTTGGGCTACCTCCCAGGACTTAACCCCTCGCTCTCCTAGGCCCATCCCTGCCCTGTGGAAAGGGGATAGATGGAGTCCCCTCGAGGTCACCGCAGCACTGGCTCCTTGCTCACACAGCGATGGTCCCCTGCTGCTGTCATTCTGGTCACCGTCACTGGTCAGCGGCCCAGACCCTTGGCCAGCCTGTAGGGTCCACCCCAGCCTTGCCGTGTACTAGCTGTGTAGCTGTGCAGTTCCTACCTCTGGTCTAGTAGGACTGTTTGGTGGTGACATGAAGGACCACATGCCGGGCACAGAGCAAGTATGTGTGAGCGTCACCTCTTGGTCACGGTCACCACCCCTGACGAGGGCGTCCACGCAGCTATGTCCCCTGACATCACAGGGAGGCAGGACCTGGCTAGGGGGAGGGCCTGAAGGAGCCTAGTCCTGTCCCCAGACCAGGGCCAAGAAGACCTCAGAGGAGAACCAGGAAGGGGCTGGTTCCAATGCCCCCCACCCCCCCAAACAGGAAGCTGACCAGGGTGTGACCTGCCTGAGGTCACAGGGCAGAGCTGGGGCCATGGGCCAGGTGCTTCCTGCAGCTTAATTCACTCACTGCCCACCAGGACCCATAGTGCAGCTGCTGTCATCACTCGTTCTTTGTATGAGGAAGTGGAGATGCAGAGAGGGGAAGAAACTGGCCCAAAGACACATAGCTTGAAAGTGGGAAAACCGGGGTCCACACCCAGGCAGCTCTGCCCCCGACACTCAGCTCCTAAGGAGGCACCACATGTCTTGGCCCCCACACAGACTCTAGGTCGTCAGGACCTGGGCAGGCACGGGAGGCGTGCAGCGTCTGGAGGTGAGTAGTGGGGGGGCGGTGGTGGTGACTGTGGAGGACTGGAGAGGCTTCGCCCTCCTAAGGGCAGTGACCTTCTTGTCACAGAAACAAGCTTGTGCCAGCCCAGCCCCCTCTCCAGGGGCCCTTCAGCGTGTGCCTGAGAGCAGCCCCTGGTAAAGCCGGGTCTCAGGGCACAGGGGCAGCCAATCCTGGACACCTGCTCTGGAGGGAGGGGCGTCGCTGGTTCAGAAGTGTCCTGCTGAGCCAAGCGAGGACACAGGGCTGGCCTCAGGAGCAGGGCATTTGTCTGAAGATGGCAGCTCTCCTGGCAGCTGGTGGGGGATCCAGTGGGGACGGGGCGCCCCTCCCCGCAGAGCAGGAGGCCGGGCTGAGGCGGGTGAACCGGCACAGGCGGTGTCCCTCGTGGGCCAGGCAGATGTGGTGACAGCTGCGAGGAGGAAGGAGAGTTCGAGACGATGGGAACGGGAGCCCGCTGGGCCGTCAGGTGCAGGGGTCCCACCGCAGGTTCTGGGTGGGGGCAGTGACACAACAGGGGGTGGTCTCGCGGGCGCAGGCGGGCGGATGGCATTCTGCCTCTAGAAAGCCTGTGGGCACCCAGCGTCCTCTGTGCGATGCTCAGACGGGCTGGATGACGCTCTCGGGACTCGGGGACGCAGGGCAGAGCGAGCGTAACTGTGACGTGCGGTGAACCCGTCTCTCACTCCAGCATCCGGAGCGTCTGGAAAATGTGCTTTATAAAGGGCTCTGCGGCTGCAAAGGCGGATTTCTCTGGCTCCGTCTGAAGGTAAATTCGGTCGACACACTTGGAAAATGATGTCCCTGCTCTCTCAGTGGGATGTTATGAAAATCGATGGAAATCATCTGGATTTTTGGTGCAGATCAATAAGGTTATTGACTACCCTCCTCCTCTGCCGCCCTGGCGACCGAGGGGGTGATGGGCTGTGTACCCGAGTCCTCTCCACACCCACAGCCGCCTTGAGTGCGTGGCCCATGTTCATTCACTCAACAAACACTTGCTCTTGCATCGCCTACTGTGTGCCAAATGCCTACCATGTGCCGGGTGATGTTCTGTGCTGGAGTGCCTGTCTGAGGACAAGGCGAGACAGTGGAAGTGACACCTAGAGATGTTAGATGTGTCCTCAGTGTGAGGTGCTACGAAGTAACGAGAAGAAGGCAATGCACAGGGAGTGACTGGGGACAGGGAGAGGGTCTCTGTCCAGGGTGGTCTGGAGGCTCCTGGACCGAGACCCACATAGTCAGGAGGAGCCAGCTGACCACAGGCAGGATGAGCACTCCAGGCAGAGGGAACAGCACGTGCAAAGGCCCTGAGGCAGGGGGACCCATGTCCCAGGAGCAGGAGGAGGCCAGTGTGGCCGGGACAGGGACGGGGTTGGGGAAAGAAGCCAGGAGGTGGGAGAGGCAGTGTGTCCTGACTTGCAGGTTCGGGGTGCGAGGAGCAGGATGTACTTTATTTCTCCGTTTTACCTACTTAACACATTATTAAAATTCCTCTGAGGCACATGGCACAGAGCTGGCTGACCATGTTTAATGGACACACAGCACTTGCACCTGAGTGCAGCATCAGTGCTGGATGCTCACAGTGCACCACGACGCGGATCAGCAGCTGGTGACAGTGAGGACACTGTAAATTCCTGGGAGAGCCCGCAGGGCCCCTGGGCAGCTGGGGGTGGAGGGCGTGTTCCCCAAATGTGAGTAGCGACAGCCGGAGATATGTAGGCTCTGGTACAAGGTAACACTTGAACCATCATGATATTGGCTTGTGCACCCAGGTCTTCTAGAAAATTCTGAACTCTCACCTTTTTCCTCCATGAAGGGACACTGTCTCTGTTCCAGTCTGATAATGGCTTTAAGGAGCACATGTTTATGCCATTGTGAAAGAAAGCATGACTTGCTTGTCCAAAACTAATGGGTTTGAAAATCCCCAAGGTGACGAGCTGGTGGCCGGCAGTGACAGGCCCCAGCCTCCCAGGGTCACGTGGTGGGACAAGCTCGCCTGGGCCCCAAGGTTCCCATGTGAACACTGCGGAGTCGGACGGGCTCTGATGCGTCACTACTGGCCTGCAGAAGCTGTCCTTGTGTCCGGGGATGGGCCCTCCACTGCCCGGGCCTGCGTCACAGGGGGCTGAGTGGACACGGAGAACCAAAGCCCACCCTGAACTGAGGGGCGGTCAGAGAACAGCACCTGGAAGAGGCCCCTCTACTGGGCCGCCTGAGGAGCAGACACCCACTAGGACCTCCCACTGCAAGCGCCATCCCACGTCTGCGCCCCTGGCCCTCTTAACTGGGCCTGGTTTCACCTCTGCGCCCCCCCATAGACCCCAGCTGAACGCTGCTCTGCCACAACTTTGCTCTGCCCACACCCTGAGGCCAGGAACAGTGCTGCCCACCATGTCCCTCCTAACTCCTGGTCCTGTGGTTCACATCAGGAACGGATTCCCCAACAGAGAACTCAGACACGGATGGCTCAGAAATGTGACTGAGGGGTCTGTGATCTGCCCTGAGATTTGGTCTGGACGTTTCTGTGAGGCTGTTTCTGGATGAGATCAACATTGAAATTGGTGGACTTTGAGTAAAGCCGATTGCCCTTTCTCATGTGGTGAGCCTGGTCCAATCAGTGGAAGGCCTGGAGAGAACCAAAGGCCGACCTCCCCGAGGTCAAGGGGGAATTCTGCAGCAGACGCCTTCGGATGGGAACTGCACCATCAGCTCTCCTGGTCTGCAGCCTGCCGGCCAGCCCTGCCCTTCTGGACGCACGAGCCTCCACCCTCATTGAGCCGATTCCTCCCACAAGTCCCTTTCTAGACACCCACACTTCTCCTCGCTTCTGCTTCCCTGGAGAATGCTGACTGCGTGGGCTCTGAGTGTGCACCACAGGGCCGGCTCGACCCTGGAACTCAGGTGGGGCCTTGGGAAGGTGTGGGGATGGCCTGGATGTGCCCGGGGTGCTGGGACTCACAGGGGGGCTGAGCAGCCCCTTCCTGACTCCCTCAGGACGCTTCTCTGCAGCATGAGTCTCTCTCTCCTTTATCAACACCCCGAATTCTCCCTACCACGTCTCCTCCGGCTGCTCCATGGATTAACGAGTGTGTCTGCGAAGCGCAGAATTCCGGAAACCTTAGATTCCAGCAGTCCCGGTGCTGGCGCCGTCAGGGCCTTCGGTGCTGAGGGTCCGTGTGATCCCATGGGTTGCAGGGCCCTGGGCATCTCCGGGGAGGGTGGACTCTCTCCTGGTTTGAGCAGGGCGGTGATTTTGTGTCACAGCGGTGTGGGCAGAGGATGTTTCTGAAGCTTGTGATATTTTGACAAAAATTTGCTTCCAAAAATTTATGAGCCTGAGCAACACATTCGTTTTTGTGACACAGAATGAAAGAAGGCATACATTTTTCAAGTTTCCTTCTTAGTTCATTGGGCACCATGTGCATTACTCCTCAGCTTGTCAAAATGTCATAATTCATGAATTTGTTTTTCAAAAATGTGTGATTGTCAGGGAAGTGGGGGAGGGGGCCCCACCTGAGAAGGACTTTGGCGCTTATCTCTATCTGTCCTTGAGCGTCATCCCTCATGGGGATAGGGAGCCAACCCCAGGACGGAGGGCGGGCAGGGAGCTGCCGTCCGGGCTGGAAGCTCCCAGCTCCTCTGCCCACTGTGTGCACAGACCTGGGCTCAGCGCTGCCCTTGGCTCCCAGGGCCCTCAGACAACGGGGTGTCCTTGGCAGGAGTGGGGCAGCCTGGTCAGGGGCCCCAAGGGCCCCCCAACCTCCTGCAGGAGCCCCCTGTCCAGGGGCCCCACGGAGGACTGGCCCCCAGCCCCATGCTCCAGGAACCCCCAGTCACCCCCGTCCTCAGGCCCCTCGGCCTCCCTGGGGGTCACACCAGCTCCAAACAGCAGAGCTGTTCCCAGCAACCTGGAGGAGGCCCCAGCACGGCCAGCAGAGCAGTCTCAGAGCAGTGGGGTCTCCAGGGACACGATTCAAGTACGGACTGGCTGACCCCCTCAGGGAGCCCGGCCCAGGCCTGGGGTGAAGATGAGCCCAGGGACAGGGACACAGGCCCCCACGGGGGCTCTTAGACTGGGAGCCGAGGCACGATCTGTGGGGCCCAGTGCAAGATGGAAATGCAGAGCCCCCTGTTCAAACCCAGGAAAAAGGGCTGTGACAGGCGCCCAGGTATGATCCTCTTTCCACTTCTGTGGTTTCTCCAGACTTGTCGTGGGCTTTTCATTTGCTCTTTAATGTTCTAGATAAACAAAAGTTACATGTTTAAGTTGTTTGCATGAACTTTACCATTTGTGTTTATATTTACAACAATGGTTTAAACGCAAATATGAACATTTAACTCCTATGGGAAATCACCAAAATGACACAGGTCACATTTCACGGCTCCCTAGAGGTGCCTGGAGGCGGCCACAGAGACAAACAGGAGGTGGCCCCAGGGGAAATGGGAGGAGGAGGGTCCCCCAGGCATGGAAACAGGGGCGCTTGGGGCACAAGGACACTCGCAGGCCAGTGCAGCCCTCACAGGGGCCAGGAATGCTTGCTCTGAGGACCACAAGGCTCTGTCCCCTCTGTGGACCCTGGGAGCCCCTGTCCTGGTCCTGCTCCCCCAGAGCCTGCAGGGAGCCAGCTCACAGCTGCCCAGGGTTTGCTGGTGAGCACGTGGGGAGCAGTGCCCTTGCAGTCAGGACACGCTGCATCTCTGGCTTCAGAGGAAGGGCTGTCATCCCACAGACAGTGGCCCAGGCAGCACAGGGGGAAGGCGGCTGCTGCCTCGGTTCCCTGGAGAGACCCAGAATGCTGGGACTCCCCGGGATCCCAGACCTGGACCCCGATTGCAGTGGGCTCAGTGGGGCAGCACACAGCAAAGAGGCCATTACCTAGAGAACAGCTCCGTCTGCACAGCCCCCTCCAAACCCCACATCTCTGACCTTGCCAGCAGCCTGGTGCCCTGTGGACCCTCGAAGATCTCCCGAGCACCACCCTCCCCCCTTGAATGCACAATTGAAGGGCTCCCGTGAGCCCACAGGGACAGACTCCTCCCAGCCCCCGGCCGAAGATCAGCCCGCTACAGACGCCCCGGCCTCCATCAGCCTCCCAGGGCAACGTGTCAGAATGGAAACTCTGCCAGGAAAGTGTTTCATTAGACTCTCCTCTCCTGCTGGGTCTCTGGTCCACACTGCCTCGCCCTGAACTCAGTTTAGCAGAGAACTCTCTACTGGCTGCTGGAGAGAAGAGACGGGAGATTTAGTGAGAAAGGTAATTTCCGAGAGCCTGTGATGGCCTGTAGCCTCTGCGTGAAACTGTGCTCACCACCCATGGAGAAGACAGGGCGGCGGGAGGGCTGTGTGCTTGCGTCCAACAGACAGACAGAGGTGGGTGTGCGCGGTATCACAGGAGCCTCCACAGATCCACCATAAGCAGGAAACCCTGGGAGAAGGCGGGCAGGCATCACGAACAGGTGCACACAGACAAGACGACAAACTCGATTAAGCGCGAGAACAGACGCCCCAGCTCACTCATCAGCCAGGCACTGAACGCAGCAGGTCCGCGACATCTCTGCCCTCCCAATGCGCACCGAGGTGCTTTGGAGCACAGACACGAGCAGGGACACCATCCCACATCCCCTGCTGTGGCAGCCCCAATGCCTCTGTGGAGACTCCCCAGGAGGTAGGCATGTCAGAGGCTTCAGCAACAAAGCGATCAGCTCCTGCGCTCTGATGTCCACCCCGACTCCCTTAGCCAAGCACAATGTGGAAGCCCCTGATCACGGTGCTACAGCAGGAAACAGGGTTCGTGATATCGATGAGCCTTCCCAGGATGCCAGGGCCAGCGGGGCCCTTGGTACAGAGTGGGGGACCCACCTGTCTTCCCTCCTTGCCTGGGGCACATTTATGCCCCCTGCGGGTGGGACTCCTGCTGAGAAGAAGCCAGGAAAGGAGGTTTCCTAAAGGGCAGCTCAGCTCCTGCCTTATAAAGAGGGTCCCAGGACCGGAGGGATGGTGGCTGGGAGGGAGGAAGCTCCATGTCATCAACAACATGAGATATTAATAATAATGATAACAGTAACAATAGGCACAGTTTATGCCCTAAGCCCTGCTATGACCTCATTACATCTCCTCCTCTTCCTGGCAAGGGGCCCCATCATTACCAGCATCATCACCATCATCATCATCATCCTCACCATCACCATCATCATCATCACCATTACCATCTTCATCCTCATAACCACCACCACCATCATCATCACCACTGCCACCATTGTCATCACCATCATCACCGCTGCCACCATCATCATCACCACCATTATCACGATTAGTATCATCATCCCTATCACCACTATCACCATCACCATCCTCACCACCACCACCATCATCATCATCACCACCATCATCATCCCTGTTTCACAGTTGAGGGAGCCCAGCCACAGGGAGCTAAGTGACTGCCACATGATAAAGTGATTAAATTGCCCCAAAGCTCACAAAATCCCCCCTCCCTTGGGTTCTCCTGGGCCAAGATGAGCAGCGGTGACTGCAAGCCGACCTAGTTTCATTCACACAATGGAGGGAGGACTAGAAGGAGGGGCTCACCTCCTTCCTTTCAGGACATGACCTGAAAGGGGCTCTCCTGACCTCTGCTCACAGGGCATTGGCCAGCACTGGTCACATGGTCACTGAAGTTGCAAAGGAGGCTGCGAAATGTAGTCCTTGCTGTGGGCAGCCATAAGCCCTGATCTCACTTGGGGATTAAATTCACAGAAGGGGCTGACACGGAGGGAGGAGGCCCGGAGTCTGCATTTCTAACAAGCTCCCAGTGCTGCTGCTGCTGCTGGTCCCTGGACCCCAGTCTGAGCAGCAAAGCTTTAGGGGCTCAAACACCCCGGTGTCCTTTCCTTGTGGGTGGCACCTGCTCAGGGCCATGGGAGGCTCCCATTTGGTCCTGTAACCCATCAGCACTCAGGGACTATTCGCTGAGCTTCCTGAGTGACCCCTGTGGACAGACCTGCGTGTTGTCCTCAGCTAATTAGTGCAGCATTTCCTGCAGCAGATTCTCCCCTAGAACGCATCCCCGGGACGCCTGGAGCCTGTCTGTCGTCCAGGCATTGATCTGATGCGCGAAATGAAAGCACAGGGCTGGTTTAGGAGATGGGTAATTTCTCCTGTCCATATGAAACACACCAGGGCATCGCCAAGCCTGCTCATTACAGTTTCAAATGTGTTCAGAGATGGGAACCTAAAGATCCACAATCCTCACCAATCTCTCTCTTTGCCTCAAACTTCAGAGGGGAATGAATTTGAGTCCCAGGATGGGCACGAGAAGACACGGAGTCCCAAAATGAGAGGAGAGGAGCCCTGAGGCATCCTGGGCAGAGAAGTGTGTGACTTCAAAGTGCAGACGCTATGGGAATGGTGGGATCACAGTGAGCTAGACTGCAGCTGTGTGGCCAGGACATACTCTTCTCAGGGACCCAGGAGCTGCATCCCCATGGCCTCCAGCCCTGCGTCCCTCCACCCAGTCCAGCAGTCGAATGTCAGCTAATCCCCCTTGAGGGTGAGAGAGCCCTATAAACCCTAATTCCACAGGGATCAGCACTCTGCAAACACGCTGACCTCCCAGGTCACTGCCCACTGGGCTGCTCTGGCTGAGCCAGGGAAGGACAGGTAAGACTTTCCTGGGATTCGACTGTCCACACTGCAGTTACCGCCTGGAAGGACTTACAGACCCCTGACCCAGCCTCACTGCACCATAGTGAGGAGGGCAGCTTCCTCCATGCCTGAGGCTGCGTGCCCCTCCCACCCGCAGTCACACTATTCCTCGCACCACCTCACAGTTCAGAACAAAGGGGTCGATGCAGACTCCTCCCACCAGGAGCTTCAGGGCTCAGCCTGATGAATCGTTAACTACCCAGAACCCTCTTCCATTAGCCAAGTCTCCATTGGAAGACATTTAATCCTACTTGTCCCCTCCAAGCTCAGGATTTCAGTCAACAACTGCAGTGGATATTCTAGTCCTTGCCTCCTCTGTCCGCATGTGAGCGTTTCTCTAGGGTCGGTTCTGGGAAGCGCAACTGGTGACGCACAGGGCGTGTGGACTTTTGTCCTAACAGATACACCCAGACTGCTCTCCACAGAAGGCTGTTCACACTTCCATTCTCACAAACGGAGCGTAAGAGTCCTGTTTCCTCACCTCGCTAATACTTGATATTATCAGTATTTCTCATTTTTGCCAATCAGCTTGGGGCATGAGGGCCGCTCCCTACAACTCTTCCCCATTCTGCTTTGTGCCCAAGCCCAACAGGGAGCCCAGTACATCCAGGGCCCAGTGCACAATGCCATAAATTTATCACCAGACGATAACTTGAAAAACAGCCATAAAGTCTTCAGGAAACTCATATTGGATGCAACTAAATGATATTCTTCCCACAATCTCACATTGGACCAGTGAGACACATAGTGGGACCAGTGAGAACTAATCATCTTCTACAATAAGCATCAATTGACTATTAAAAATTAATTCGCTCAAATTACACTGTTCGCTCTTGGGGACTACGTCTCTTTCTGTGGCTGTAAGCATCAGCTAGTCCTGGAGTCAACCCCAGTCTGAGAAGGACAGGAGCTGGCTTTGCAGCCTGAGGCTGCTTGAGGTCTCTGAGGCTGCTGCACAGACAGACAGACAGACAGAACACATACTTGGGCTGCTATCCCACCACACAGTCCTCGCTCAAACTGGGTGTCCAGTCATGTAGGCAGAAGAGGGGCTTGGTCTTGGCTCCTTCAGGTACCTCATCTCCTGACCCACCTCCTTGGGGTGGCGGGACAAGCAATGTGGCCTGGGATTATGACCCCTGGACAGATACTCAGCTGGACGCACTGCTGTGTTTGTGCTGGGTTCATGAGAGGTGTCTGAGTGTCCATGTTCTATTCTGATGGTCCAACGCCCTGCTGAATATTATCCCAGTTGGAGCCATCTCACTGGCATAGAGCTGGGAAATCCTCCCCATCCCTATCACCTCTCTGTACCCCATTCCCCAATGATTATTAATTTCTAGTCAAGGATTCTATACCCTTAAGTACATTCTAGACTTGATCAATTGTCTCTACCTGAGAAAAGGGCAGGAAAAGATTGGGGAATATGACGGGAACAGATCAAATCAGTGTTTATTTTAATTCCAAAGTTTCCCTTAATTTACAGATTCTTCAGCACGAGATGCCTAGCCATCTGTATGAAGCATTTTCTCCCGGAAATGAATCCCCAGGCCTCCCGTTCTTTATTGTAGGTGAGGGCCATA